TGCCCTCCTTGTCCTGGATCTTCGCCTTCACGTTTTCGATGGTGTCGCTTGCCTCCACCTCGAGGGCAATTGTCTTGCCGGTTAGCGTCTTCACAAAGATCTGCATGCCTCCGCGCAGGCGCAGCACCAGGTGGAGCGTCGACTCCTTCTGGATGTTGTAGTCCGCGAGCGTGCGGCCCTCCTCCAGCTGCTTCCCGGCAAAGATCAGACGCTGCTGGTCCGGTGGAATGCCCTCCTTGTCCTGGATCTTCGCCTTCACGTTTTCGATGGTGTCGCTTGCCTCCACCTCGAGGGCAATCGTCTTGCCGGTTAGCGTCTTCACAAAGATCTGCATGCTGTTTGTGGTCCTTTCTGTGTAGGAGTTGTATTGTAATCCACTTTCTTTTTGTGCTGCACTAAAATATTGACATATAAACCAAAAGAAGGAAAGATGGTAGGGGGAAAGCATAGTGTTTGAGTTCGGTTTTATGGCGCTAGTCCGTTGTCGTTTGACTTTGATGGCTCATGTTCATGTCATTGTTCTGTGGGCATGTGCGTATGTCTGGTGATGGTGCTTATTTTGGTTTTCAATTCCTTCTGGTGGTAGAACTTGCGGGTTATGGTGCCATCTCCCTCCTTATTAGTGCCGTGACGCATCTTTTTTCTTTTTCTTTTTGTTCTCGTTAGGCAAAAAGTTTGGAGAACTTCTGCTTCTGCTCCTTCCGGAGGGCAGCTGCCCCCTCAGCGATGGCCTGGCGGATGGCTGCGACGTCACTGGCGGGCCCGCCCAGCTGCTCAAAGGCGTTCAGCGCCTCCGCCGCTGCGGCGTAGTCACGTCCGCCGCAAAGGGCGACTGCCAGTCGATGGTGGGCCTTGAGGTTCGTGGCATCGAGCTGCAGGGCAGCCCGTGCGTCCGCAGCGGCGGCTTCGTTTTTGCCGAGACGGTGGTGGCAAAGGCTGCGGTTGAGCAGTGCGGAGAGTCGCAGCGCAGTGACTGCGGCCTCGTTCGGCAGGAGGTCCCTGCGGCCCTCCGTGAGTTCGACGGCCTCGTCGTAGGCCTTCACGGCCGCCTTGAAATCACCGGCGGTGAAAAAGCTGTTACCGTTCACCTTCGCCTGCTGTGCCTTCGCGGTATCCGCTTCGCTGATGCGCTTCGTGTCACTCTCGCGCTGCATCACTGCCGAGGTCATCTGCGCTTGGTTGGCGGTGTCGTAGCTAGTCGTGGGCGGTTCCCGCAGGAGGGCTTCGTAGTGGGCGAGAGTGCAGTCGACGCGGCTCCACTCGTCGAGGGCGGGGTCATCGTGGCTACAGAGAAGGAAGGCGTCCCCGCGGATGTCGCGCTGCACGAGCGTGCTGGCACGGGAGTTGAGGGCGAGGTCCTTAAAGCGGCCACTGTCGTCGATGTAGAGGGAAGTGCCCACAAACCTGTTGCCGCGCCCTGGCATGAGCAACGGTATGATCTCGAAGGAAGTCTGCTCCAGGTAGTCCTCGATCATTGCGTGCTGCTGCTGCTCGCTCGTGGCGGCGGCAGCGGCAGCAGCAGCGTCTCCCTGCTGCTTCGCCTCCTTCATCTTCGCCGTGAGGTGTCGCGCCATCTCGCGCCGCTGATCCTCGGAAAGCAGCTGCCGGCGAAAGTACTGCTGGAGGGAGGCGCGAAACTCCTCATCGCTGCCGCCGGCAAACGTCATCTCGCGCGGCGCGGCGTTGTCGTCGGCGGGAATCAGCACATACCGGAAGAAGTTCACTGTGGGGCCTTGACCACTCATCGCGTGCCTTGCCTGGGCGCACGGGATCATCTCGGCGGCGGTGACGGCCGATGCGCCATTCAAGAGAGAGAGAGAGAGAGAGGGAATGAATGCATGTAAAAAAGGCAAGAGAAGGAGGAGGCCGTGCGTCAATGGCGTGCAGCCTGGGTCCTCAGCGTACAGCGTGCACAAACGCACCCCACACACAGATACAGAGAGATAGAAAACAAAATAAGAAACTAGGTTTGGAATCTAAATCTACACGTGTATCGTCACCACCAAAGACGCTTGTTTCTGCTTTCTCTCCCCGTCCCCGTGGAGGCGGTTAGGGCGTTACACGGGTCCTGCTTGTGCAGGCGGGAAGCAGCAGCTGGACAGCCAGCTGCAGTTCGCCCACAGACTGCATCTCCACCGCCGCCACCTGCTGACCGCTGCGGGTGACCACCAGACAACACTCCGCAATGTGGACGTGGTCCCTATGAATGGCGTTGCTGTAGTACGCCTGAAGGCCGGTGACAACCGCGACATCCTTCCGCAGCGCCAGCTGTGGGGCCTTCTTCAGGCAATGCAGCTTCTTCAGGGTGAGCAACACAACCTCATCCTCACGCTGCACGAGGAGTATCCGCTTTGCCGCTCCGTTGCGAGAGAAATGATGTTTCCAGACTAGAAAGGTGCCAATGTGGAGACTTGTGGCGGCTGGCTCCGCGGCGTCCGCGAGAGGGCCAAGGCTGACGCTCCCCCCCCAGCATGGTGGTGGGCGGTGCGACGCCAGCGGCTCCACCTGCAACACCAGCGACGGCTCGTATGACTCCTCCGAGGAGGGGAGACTCGTGCTGTCGGAGATCTGCCCGGTCCTCAGCGTCAGCTTCTGTGCCTCCCGTGACGGCTCGCTTTTGGCGGCAGCCTTCTTTGCCTGTCTGAGGAGATTAAGCTCCGCGGTGCGGTCCGCCAACGCCTGCAGCGGTGTGTGAGACTCCGCCATTGCGCGCCCTGCAGGCGCCTCAAGTGACAACACAAAGCTTTCCGCTAAGTCGACGTGCAGTGCCGGCGGCGTGGCGGGTGCCAATTCACTCCGCTGTGGCGCCTGCGATGCGTCGACCGCCGCGGCATCCGTCGCTGGCGGCGCCGACTCCACTGCTCCTTCCGACTCACGCGGTGAAGGACATGGCTGCCGTGAGCAGGCGCTTGGCTGCACCGAGCAGAGTCGACTGGAGGCGGTGGAGGTACGGCGTGACGACGCCCCCCCGGTACAGCGTCTCGCGTGGCAGCCCAAGCAGCTCCATCACCGCCCTCAGCAGGTCGTGCTCCGCTTCGTACGCAGGCACGCCCTGCAGGTTCTGAATGCGTCGCCTGTTTTGTACCACCGCAGCCGCTGCCTCGTTCTCCACGCCGTGACGCGGAAATGCCGGCGGGGCGCAGGCCTCTTCCCACAGCATGGAGGAAACCCTCTGCACGTAGCGGCGTTGCTGCTGCCGCTCCTCCTCCTCCTTCTGTCGCTGCTGCAACAGACCCACGGCGACAAAGTCGCGGCGGTCGGGCACAACAAAGGCGGCGCAACGCGGCGGTGACGCGAACGCGGTCACCACGACAGATGAACAACACGCCTCCCGCAGGGTCGGCTGGCGCGGGTCGCCGCGCCGGGGTGCAGCGGAGACGCCGCCGTCGGATGTGGTGGACTGCGGTGACGCCGGGGGCTCCTGCCGCGGCACGGCACCCTCGTTACAGCACAGGGCCCGGCGCGATGCGGCAGAGACGCGTGAAGCGGAAACAACGGGGGTGCCAGCGCTCGGCAGCCGCCTTCCCGCCACCGTGGGGTGAGCAGGCAGGCGCGACGAGGTGGAGAGTGTTGTGCAGGGCGAGGTTGGGACCTCAATTACGTTGTCCGCCGTCAAGTCTTCCTCGTTTTCTTCCGTGTCGATGTCCACGAAGATGGTGCGGAGGGGCTGCGTCACCGAACGGCGTCGCGGGGAGCGAGACATGGCGTGGAAGACGTACTCTGCCAAAACATCATCTTCGCTGCCGGCAGGCGTGGCACCGCTGCCCTCCGCGCGGCTATCCGCATCAGTGCTGGTCCTGCTAAGTGAGGAGTGCAGGGTCTTGACTCGCCGCAGTGGCGGTGGCGGTGATGGTGGGACAACGTCCTCGTCACTGGACGACGCGTCGTGGTGCTCCGCCACCGCAGCGTGGCATGGCGTGGGGCTCGGTGTGAGCTCCACCGCCACAGTGCGCGTGTCGTGTGGGGTGTATAAGAGCTCCACCGCGGCGATGCGGTGCGTGTCCGAGGCGTCGCAGCAACCGAGGAAGCGCAGCGTCATGAAGACGCGCGTGCCAGCGACGGGCTCTGCGCCAAGCAGGGTGGCAACGTGATAGAGGGTATTCACGGCAACGGTGGTCTCTGCCCCGGCGGAGTGCAGCGGCCACTCCTTGACTACGATGTCCTGCAGCGCCAGCGCGTCCAGCCGCTGCGAGCTCGTGGAGAGGCTGACAACGCACGAGGTGGGGAACGCGTGGCCCGGGCAGGCCGGACGCACCCGCAGGCAGAGCAGTGCTAAGGACCGAGGCCCGAAGTAGTCCCCCCGCGTCGCCAGCTCGCACGTCGCCACGGTGTCGCGTGCGCTCACCGCGTCGTTACACCAGGCACCGCCGCCGCGGCATGGGGCGGGAACAAACGCATTGCCTGGGCTCACGCCGGTGGCACGCAGAAGACGCTTGAACGCCTGCACAGCCCCGTTAGGACGACTGGCCCCACAGGCATCTGTCACCATACCTAGCAGCCACGCACGGGGTCCTCTCTAGCTCTCTACTTGTGGTTCTCTATCTATCTGGCTCTCTCTTCCCACTCCCAAGTTCCCTGCTGTGCCTTGTTGCCCCTCCCACACACACGCACAGGCACAAACACCACTCCCTGTTTTTTTTCCTTCCGCTTGCTTGTGTGCGTGTGAGAGAAAAAGAGTGTGTGAGTACCTCTTTTTCCTGTCTCCTCGCACAGCAAGCGGGAAGAGAAAAAGACGAGGAATACGACAGAGACGGAGAAGAAGCGAGAACGCGATGGAACGAGCGACAACGCAGGAGGAAAGACGGGAGTGGGGAAAAACGGCCGGGCGATCGTCCCCGCAAGAGAAAGTGTGAGCGGGGGCAATATGAATAAGAAGAAAGAAAGAGAGAACATGGCCCGCCCTTCCTTCATCCCGCCTGTTTCGATACCTATCTCAAGGCGCAAGAAGAAAACAAATAAAAACCCACTAAAAGGCGTCTTCACCTTAGCAATGGAGCATCTAGCGGGCTCGCCCAATCCCAGACGCCATCCTGTATTGTGAGCCCCTGTGCCCCAGCGATGCGCCGAGAAACGGCAGAGGCGCCTCCTCCGCTACGAGGCGTGTGATGCTCTGATGCCGCTCCCACTCCCAGCGCTTCTTGACGCGGTACCACGCGAAGCCGGGGCTTTCGATGTTGTGGTCCGCGGACATCGCACTCACGTTGAAGCTGCGACGCTGCAGGAAGCCAATATAGTAGTTCGCGTACATGCACTCCATCACCACGGGTCAGGCGGTGGGGGTGCACACTGGGGCCAGATGTTGCGTGTGCAGCATCTCAGTCTTGGCGATGCACATCACGTCGTATAGTAGCCGCCACACGGCCCGGTCCCGCGCGGCGAGCAAAATGTTCTTAAGCAGCGCAATGTTCACGTGGTTGTCGGCGCAAAGGTCCGTCGGCAGCATCATTAAACCGATGTTGGCATACTTCTTCCAGAACATCACGCAGTGCTGGGTGAGGCCGATGGCGCGGAGCATGTGCTGCAGCACATCGGCCGCGCCCTCGTCCTTCACGTGGGTTACCTCCAGCAACGCATTGACAAAGTAGCCGTAGTAACGGTCGAAGTGGTCGAAGAGCTGCTTGACGTTGCCTGGCTGCTGCAGCACCCGCAGCTGAGCGTCGGTGAAGCCGCGCACAAACGCACGCGTTATCTGAGGGCTTTGCTCCACCACCGCCGCAAAGGGGCGCAGGACGGGGTGGGAGTCGGTGAACTGCCCCACCGCTATTTGTCGCCGCCCCATGATTTGGTTCACCGACTCCTTCCAGAAGAGAAGCTTCATGCCCGCCCCGGTAGTCTTGACGCTGTGCTGCGAGAGGACGTCTAACATCGTCCAGCGCGCATTGTTGAGGGGCATTGCTAGTTGCCACATGGCATAGTAGCTCCGCTGGGTGCCGGCCGCCGGATACGCAATTTCGCCCATGCGGTAGTGAAAAAGGTCGCTCTCCTTCATATCCTCCTCCATCTTCAGGTAGTCAGCCTCCGAGGCCTGCAGCGCGGAGGTGACGCGGTCAGCCTTATCTGCGCTGACAGAGGCGATGCGCCGCCGCATCTCCTCCTTTGAAAGCGCGTTGCGGGGGACGGAGCGGTAGTAGTCCTCTGCCTCCTGCACATTGATGCGTGCATCTCCCGCTGCACCTGCTGATTCTGCGGCATGATCCTTTCTACTTGCCGCCGCCTTCACGGTACTAGGGAGCCTCTGAGGAAGCGACGACAACGACGACACCCTCTCCACTTGAAATTCGCGCGTGGATGACAATTTTCCGTGGAACGCGACGTTGGCCATATGCTGCGCCTTGAGCGCCTGCGTGAGGAGGCCAGCGTCGCCACAGGGGAGGAGTGGCGCGATCGCGTCCGCCTGAGACGTCTGCCGCTCCTCTGCCAGCTTCACGAAGGCTGAGATGGAGCCGCCGTATGTGCCGAGGCCGTGCAGCCCCACGCTGATGCCCTCGTCGCGCGGGAGACACGGGCCACCGCCCAGCGTCGCTGCTGCTTACACCACCATCATATTCGCCGCCTTCGTCGTCGCTCCGCCCTGGCGGTGACAAAGCGGCAGCCGCCGTCACATTGTCAACACAGGGGGCCGTCACTTGCTAGCCAGAGTAGCTGCAGCGCCATAAACGGCAAAGAGAGAGAGAGAGAGGCAGAGATTAGAAAAAGAAAGGTTAGGGAGGGCACATGACAAAAAACTCGGCGACGTGTGTGCCGACACGTCCTCATCGTTCTTGACAGCCGAGCGGCTGGAACGCCAACGGCGGCGGCGGCTGCACGGCGCCACACACAACCAGAGAGAAAAAGACAGGGGGTCTCGGCATACAGAAGGAAAAGGAAGCAATAAAAAAAAAGGGGCAAGAAGATAAAAAAAAAAAAAGGGGGGGGGGGGGACCGAGGAAGTGCTCCTCCTCACCGCACGTACGCCCTGCGGAGGATGTGTTCCTCGCTACGGAGCCTCGCTAGGATGAACTCGGCGTCGTCGACAGTGCGAATCACCCCCGCAAGAGACGCCTCTGGAATAAATGTCCACTGCACGCCAGCGCCCTGTGGAAAAACAGCGGCGGCGACAGACCGTTTGGCCGCCGCCACCGCGACGGCGTGAACGGGGCAGTCACAGGTGCATCGCGTAGGAGGAGTTTGCGCCCCGTAGGAAGGCCCATGCTGCTGCTGATCCGTTACACGCTGGCTGCCCCTCCATGTAGACACGCCTCTGGCGGGTGGCGGCTGACGATGCAGCGAGGCTCGCCTGCGCGGAGGCTGGCGAGGCACACCGCGGGGACGCAGACGGCCCTCCCCCTGCCAACCGCCTGCACCTTCCCCCCATCGCCGGTGTAGGCGCCGGACGTCGTAGTCCAGCGTAAGGTTCTGCACCCACACCTTATTCCCCCGGCCGTCCTCGTAATAGTACCGCGGGGGGTCGTCACCCGCAGACGCCGCGACGGCGCCCGCACGGCGCGCCAAGCACAGCGAGGACGACGAGCGCATGCCCGTCAACTATCGCACGTTTCTGCCTCCCTGCTTTGTTCGTCACCTACTTCTGCTTCTGCTGCTTTGTTAGTGTTGGAGAGAAGAAGGGAGGGGGTCTTGCGCGTCCGTCCTTCTCCTGCCCCGCCAAAAATCATGCGGAGCACTCACACACACCACTAGCGGGTCAAACCCGGCGTTGGAAGAGGGAGAGGGATAAAACATAGAGAAACCGACCGGTCAGGCGGAAGAAGGCAATCACATACGCACACATACACGCATGGGTATAAAGAAAGAGAGAAAGATCGAGGAGCATAGAGCCATCCATCCAACCGCATGCGTGCGTCACATCGATTGGCCTGTATATATGCCAGTTGGGGGTGGGGGCAATAGGGAGAAGAAGAAGAAAGGAGGGGTAAAGGAGGCAGACGCAACGTAAATGTGTGCGTGTGTGTTTTCCTTTTTGTTTTTATTTATTTCTTCTTAGAGAAGTGAGTTTTCTCACTACTCCACCTCTGCACTCACGCAAAAACAAAAACAAAAAAGTACACAGAGAAATCGGCGCACGCCTCTATGCCCCTTTCCCTCTCTTTCCCTTTCCATCTCTATGTGTCTCTCTCCCCCCACGCGGACCTATCTACTCCATCAGTGCGCTGACGACGACGTCCGGCTGCATGACCTTCAGGTCCTGGTACGTCTGGCCGGAGCCGACAAAAACAATGGGCTGGCCGAGCTCGTAGACCATCGAGAGAGCCGCGCCAACCTTGTCGTCGATGGTGTCGAACTTTGTGAGGACGATGCCGTCAATGCAGCGCGGGGCCGTGCCAACGGGGGCAAAGTCCACCAGGCACTGGTTGAACCGTCGCAGCTGGTCCACGCCGCTGTTGCCCACCAAGGCCTCCCCCACGAAAAGGACAAGGTCCGGCTGGGTTTCGTGGATCAGCTTCGCAAGGGCCCGCATGCGTGACTCGTGGTCCTGCATCCTACCCGCCGTGTCAATCATCACCACGTCGTACTTCTGACGGGCGGCCTGCGCAATGGCGGCGGCGGCAACCGCGGAGGGATCGGTGCCGTAGCCCATCTGAAACACCGGTACCCCCAGGCAGCGGCCGTGGACCTCCAGCTGCTCCACAGCCCCGTGGCGGAAGGTGTCGCCGGCGGCGATCATGATGCTGTGGCCGTTTTGCTGCAGCCAGTAGGCGATCTTCGCCAGCGTTGTCGACTTCCCCACCCCGTTGACGCCGCAAAGAACGATGGAGTAAGGCTTCTTGCGGGACTGCGCCGAGGCCACGGCGCGGAGAATATTCACCTCATGCTTTGGCTGCAGGATGCGGCGCAGCGCCGACGTCATGGCGGCCTCAATTGACTGGTGGAGCGAGTCAAAGGTCCCCAGCTTCGTCCCCGCCAGCGAGGCCTCGACGGACTTGCAGACGTGCTCCGCCACCTCCACAGCGACGTTCTTGGCAATCAACTTCTCCCGCAGGCTGGGGACCACGCGTTGGAAGTCCTGCCTGTCCAGCTCCCGGCGCCCGACATAGGCGCGGAGCCAGCTTGCCAGGCGCCCGCGTGGCTGGTTCTCCCACTCCGTCTCCCGCACCGGCGCGGCGCTACCGTTTGGAAGTCGCCTAATAAACACGGTACGCTGCGCCTCCGTCTGCGCCACCAACTCTTCCTGTGTCGGGGTCCTCTCCTGAGCGCTGAGAGCGGGGTCTAGCGCGGGCTCCTCCCAGCGCGTTGCCTGCTTCACGGGTTTACCTTTCTTTTGCACCTTCTTTGCGGCAGCTTGCTTGCTGGCGCTGCCAACGGACAGCTTCTGCCCCTTCCGCCCAATGACGTGGCCGCTCTTCGTCATAATCCGGTCGCTGCCGCGCTGTGCCACCACCGCCTCCTCCACGTCGTCGTTGTCCTCCTCCTCCTCGTCGGTTGCTGCCGCCGTTGTCGTTGGTCCCTCCTCCTGCGCGTCACTGTGACTGTGGGGAGCGGCGTCCTCTGTGATACCCACACCGGGCCTGCCTCCGCCGACGTCCAGGCCTGCCACGGCAGCCGCAAACTCCGCGGACAAGTCGTAGTCGGCGAACAGCTCCCCATCTTGGATGCGGCCGTACTTCCTGGCAAAGGTCCGCGCAAGGTCCCGCAAAAAGGCGCCCATGTGCGGGTAGGCGAGGAACTTGGGGTACACGCAGACCAGGAAGAAGCGGGCGTCGTTGTCCAGTGCCCAAGAGACTTTGTGGTCGCCGAGAGTCACCTCCGGCACCCCCGCGCGGTCCTCCAGCAGGACCTCCTGAATCACGCGGTTCACTGTCAGTCGCCGCCCGGCGTCGTCGGAGCTCCGCTCCCACAACACGACCCCGCCCTTGCTGATAACGGACAGGGTATCAATCATACGGGCGCAGTTGCGATCACACGCAGTGACAGGCACACGCACACAGGTACAGAGTGCGTAAGAGAAAAAAAATCGAGCAACACTAACTTCCGATGTGTGCACCTCAAGTAGACCCTCGTGCCCGCATCGTCCAGGCAAAAAAAGAAATAAAAGATACCACAGAAAAAGACTCCCTCACGCATCGACGGCGCAGCAACACAAACACTCCCACAGAGCAAATAACAATAAAAAAAAACGGGCTGAACGTTATCGCTTGTAGAGCATAGAATCCAACTTCAGTTGACGAAACGCCTCGCGCCGGGCGAGAAGCTCGTCGTACTCCTCCGCTGTCAAAACCACCCGGAGCGTCACCGTGCCCTCCCGTGCCTCCTCCGCCGCTATTCCTTCTGCTGCCTCTTTGCTAGTTGCCTCTATAGTCGCCGCGGCAGGGTCTGCCCTATCCGGTGAGTCCAGCAGCACAAACGCCCCCGTATCCCCCTCGTCTGTGGCGCCGCAGGAGTCGATGGTGCGTAAGAAGCGCTTCAGTTTGAGGCGTGCCGCCTCCACTGCACCGCTGCGCGGGTCAAGATCGTTCGCCTGGTAGAACGCCGTCATGTCCTCAAGGCGCGCCGCAAACGAGCGTCGCAGTGCCATCAGTGCCAGCGTGAGCTGCGCAGGGTTCAATGTCCCCCGCCACGCAAGCTGCCGCTGCAGTGCGGTGTAGGTGTTGATCGCCGTGTCGACCTGCGGACCGACCTCTGCGACGCGGCCCAACTCCAGCGGGACCCAACGCATCAAGTGTTCCTTTTTTTCCCTTCTTTGCTTGACAGCCGCAGCACCCCGGTGGAGACAGAGGTGGAGGCAGAAGAAGAAGAAATAAAAAGTCTAAAACCATTTCAGAGTCTGTGGCCCAGGACAGAAGAGAAACATTCGTGTGTGTGTGTGTGTGTGAATGTTGTTGTACTTCCCCCCACGACCCTGCTGTCCTTAGTATTCGCCGCCACCTCCCACCGTCAGACAGATGAGGCACACACACGCACACACACAGAAAGACGGCGAGACAATCCTTGCGTTTTCGTGTTATGTTCTCCTCCAGGTTATCTTTCTCTTCTTTTTCCCCTTTCATTCGGTGTGTGGGTGTACGTCTTGTTAATCGCCCCGCGGTGACATTTCTTCTTTCATCCATTTCTTTATCGCTCTCTGTCATTGATTCGTTCCTTTTTTGCCATACTTTTCTGAGCGAGTCACCCCCGTGGGAAAAAGGAAAAGAAGTCCATCTGCAGGATATATATATATATATATATATATATGCGTGCGTACGTGTTTCCCGCCTCCCATGCACAGAGGCACCAGCAGCAGGCGCGGTCAAGGCACAGTACCCCCACCCACACACAGATATATATACGTGGGCAAGTTAGTCAAAGCCGCTGAAACCCGTCAGCACAAAGGCGTCGTAGTACGGCTTCTTCTCAAGCTGGTGACACCAGTTCCAGGCGGAGGTCAGCCTGCCGTCAATGCAGCTCCCGCCGTCGTCGCCGGAGCCGTCAAAGGCGTGGCGAAAGAAGTCTGAGAGAATCATCGTGCGCAGCGCGGCGTAGGAGTGAAACTTGGCCCTCAGTAAGTTCCGCAGCCCCGGGTACTCCTCCAGGCTGCCGGGTGCAAAGATCTTCTCCAGCTCCAGGATGGTGTGCATAATTGGCTGCACAATGCGTGGGATGACGGTGTACTTATCGATGAAGACCAGCGGGTTCGGCACATCGCGGTCACCAAGGTGGATGACTTTTATCCCCACCCAGCCCCCCATCTCCTGCTCCGTCTCCGCAACGCAGCGCGCCATGCGGGCGTAACTCTTCGGCGCCCGGCACATGCGATGATACCCCTGCCCGGTGTTGACAAAGCTGTAGTGACCGCCCCCGTCGAGGAGCATGTCATCCTCTGAGACCTGCCAAAAGTCAAAGATGTGGCGCTGCACGTTTTCCCACATCGTCAGCGACTCCGCAACGTACTGGCAGTGGCGCCTGTGGTCGTGCGAGAACCGCGCGCCGCGGAAGCCAGCGCGAATGGACAGGTCGTGCGCCTTGTCCCCCTCCTGCGGGAGGAACTCCTCGTTGAGGACGCGCCGCAGCCAGCGCAGCGGCCGCAAATTATTCTCAAGAAAGTGTTCCACGTCGTCAATGGAGCGCAGACAGCGTTCCACCACCGGCCTGCACGCACCGGCACCGTGGCGGTCCAAGATCCTCTGAAACAGCGCCGCCTTCTCCGCCCCGTGTGCCCACACATACTTCTCTACATCTCCATCCTCTAGCAACGTCTCGGCCCCCGCCTTGCGCAGCTCCATCCCGACAGTCTGCACTGGCACCAGCAGGCTATGAGAGATGCGCAGACGGTCCTGCACCGACCGCTTCTGGACATCCTGCAGCAACATCACAAGCTTCCCAAACTCGCTGCGGTTGCTAAACGGGTTGAGGCGCTTGTGGCGGCGAAAAATCTCAAACAAACCTATTAACACACTAAGCGTCTGGCGCACATCCGTGTTGCCCTTGGCGACCTCCGCCCGCAGCTCCCGCGAGACACTGCCCGACGCAATGCACAGTCCCAGCGCGGTGTCAAAGAGGTCCCGCATAGCGCGGTACATTCGCTCCTCGCGGCTGTGGGGGCGCCGTATGTCATCCACGTCGTCCGTGTACTCGCTAACCTTCAGAGCGGCAATGATCAGCTGAAGGTCCTCCCGTTCCGCGTCGCTCAGGCGCAACAACACATCGGCGTACTTCATGGCCGGAACAACTTTCAAACCCCACACTAGACACACCGCCAGCCAAACGCCCAACGCCAGAAAGATGCAACAAAAAAAGCGTCTGCCACACAGACACACGTAGAAATAAATAAATAAAGGAAGAGAGGGCGGGGAATGAAAGACCCGCTGCATCAGCCAATCTATTCATGTAAACCTCCATCAGGACACATTCTCTTTGCGATTAATGGCCCAAACCCAGACCCACAGCCACAGCCACGTTTCCGAGGCTGCCCTGTCCACTGCACTCACCCGCCTCTCGCGTATTCATAAAGGGAGAGGGAAAAATATGAGGAGGAGAAATGTTCCCTGCGCGCAGATGTGTTCATTCCGTCTCCATGAGCACACGAAGAAAAACAAAACATGTAACTAAAGCACAAAATGCACTGATATTAATGAAAATAACTTTGTTTTTTTCACTTCCATTTTTTTATATATTTATGCTTCATTTCGTGTTTTTCACGGCGTTTCCAAATAAAAGTGGAGGACTGAGAAGGTATTGCACCTACAGAGTACATACATATACGCATACACATACACATGCACATGTATATGTTGTATATGTGGGTATACATTTATAGAGATATATTATGTGTACGCCGTGGCCGGGTTAAACCTCCAGCACCACGGGGAGCGCCGCCACCTTGTCCTTCACGAGAGGAGTAAAGGGCAACTAAAGAGATAGCGCTCACCGAAGGACGGGATGACGGTCATAATTGTCTTTTCCGCCATTTCCGGACCCCGCGCAATCTGCAGCGCTCCGTAGACGTTGGCCCCGCCGAAGAAACCGCAGCAAGTGCTGTCGGTGCGGGGGAGTCGCTAGGACGACGTTGATGACCGCGTAGCTGGGGAGTTGAATCACCACGTCCACCAGCGCCCGCCCCAGCACCTGCGGAACAAAGCCGGCGCCGATGCCTTGAATCCGGTGGAGATCTGGCTTGCCCTTGGATAGAACGGGCAAATTGGTGATCTCCACCGACATAATTGTGGCGCCGCACCCGTCAGCGCGCCGCCTGTCCCCATTCCGGCCACAAAGCAGTCCACCTGCCCTGCGTTTGCCGCTAAATCTCCGGCCCGGTGGTATCCTGGTGGATCTGGGCGTTGTATATTGTGCAAAACTGATCCACACAAACGGCGTCGAGTTTGGTGCTGACAATGCAGTTCACCAATATCATAGCCCCCTTCACGCCGAAGGCCGCAGGGGTTAGGATAAGCTCCACCCCAAAAATCCGCATCAGGCAGCAGCGCTCAATCGACAAGAGCCCCAGCATGACGATGATGATGAACATGTTACCCGCGTACGGCGCCGAGATGGCAAGGGCAACCCCCGTGTTGCCGCGTTGGCTTCCACAATGACGCTCTTGCCAGGTACCAGATTTCCCTCCCCCTCTGCCTTGCCATTTGTGGCGTAGGCAAGACGATCCTTCACGGAGGTCGTGGGGTTCCGAGACTCCAGCTGGAGCACAATCTTGGCGGCCGTGTCGTTCATTTTTGTGAGTTACACCGCCGGTATATCCCCAATGGGTGCTTCCATGGACAGGCCACATTATTCCGCCGATCAAACACTTGCAGAGACATTGGCTTCACCTCCGCCCGTCAAAACAATAACAATGCCAAGCAATCGTCTATACAAATACATATACACAGAGAGTGAGAGAGTAAGAGGGTGGATACATTTTTTTTTTGGGAAGAAGATAGGGTTGTTTGTTCGCCTTGCCTCGGAATGGTGGTGGCAAGGAGTCTCGGCAGCGAGGCAGGAAATTCTATGACCAAGGCAAAGCAAGCAAAAAAAAAAAGAGAGGGAAAGGGAGAGGGGGGAAGAAAAAGAAAAACATCTTTGTTTCACCGCCCTTTCCCGCGTGTATACGTGTGCCACTTCATCGCCTGCGCAGTGGCGTCTACGACGTCGCGCTGCAGCGCGACGTCGTAGACGCGCGGATGCCGCTTGAGGTGAAACGCGATGCGACGTTCTGTCGGGCCATGCCCCCAGCCGCACGTCCTCGTGTACCCGTTGAACAGCACCTCCATCATGTGGCACACCACGCAAAAAGGGCACTCCCTGC